TTTCTTCAGTTATTCCCTCAACATCTCTGAACTTGTTCACTTATAGACAGAAATAATATTCTCCACCCCATAAAACTCGCCCGAACTTTGGCAGATGGAACGTGTGTCAAGCACTTACAGTCTCTGGCACATGAACAGACCCTTAGCAAGCGGTAAGTGTTGCTAACTCTTAGGGAAAACCGAAGGGCAGAGCGCAGGCATCCTCATCCAGGTCCTGTCCTTGGTAGCCGGACTCCCAGGAGCCGCAGCACAAAGTGAAGAGTCTCGCTACACGACACGCGCGGCACTGGGGTTGCAGCCTGTGTGCTGAGCACCTGCACTGAAGACTACTTTGTATTCGCATCACTGTGGGGCCAGAGGCTGAACACAGCCTGGAGAAAGGTTCCCAGCTCTTGACCTGGATAAGCAGGTGCATGGTACATCTTCATCAATTATAAAAGGCATTTTATACAGATAGGGCAGAAGACACAGAGTCATTTTTTTTTATCTGCTCCCAAGATAGGACAGGAAGCAACCTTTAAGAAAATGCTATTTGACAGTAGCACAAACAAAAATATTAAGGAAAGGATACTGGTTGGGCTCCTGTCCAAATCCTCCTGCTGCCTCACGTGGCAGGGGGAGAAGCCCAACCTGCGGGGCCGACACACAGAGGAGAAACAAGACAAGTGCCCGGTGTGCAGAAGGAAGCAGAGGATACCGCGGATCAAATGTTCAGAGGTGACTCTGTTATTACCTTGGAGAGGGAGTGAGAAAGGCATCATTAAGACCTTGGCATGGGGACAGGCTCTCGTTTTGCAAGTCCGAACAAAAGCGGAGGGTAGAGGAGAAGCCATGTCCCTCAGTGGGCCTTGAGCCAGGGGAACCACATGGAATGGCTTTACCAAAGGAAAGTGGGGTTTTATTTCCAGAAAATACTTCTAGTCACTGGGAGAGCTCCATTGTGGAAGGCGGCACACTGACACAAACTAGATCGAGATTACAGAAAGTGGATCAACCTGTTGGCCTTAAGCCGGAATCTGAGTTTCCAAGAAAAACAATGAGCCCTCCCCCCACTCCCACCACGCACTGGGAACCCAGGGTGACTGCGTGATTGAGACAACAGGTGTCTGTGCCACTTGAGGACAGCCTGCAGGTAAGCTGGGCCCGTCTCTTCCTTATTGCTGGAAAGAGCCCAGATAACATCACAGCCCAGACAGCCTCGCTTCCTTCAGCTGAGCTGCTCCGAGCCGCACCAGGGAAGCTGTGGGTTCCTTCCGGCGCCCAGGCACCCAGGAGGCCGTGATCAGTGCTCGGCAGAGCTGGAGTGCACAATTGGGAGGCAAAGTGTCTTGGCTTCCCTATCAGTTTATCCTTATCTGTTAAGAGCTGCTTGAAGGACCCGGATGGCTGTTCCTGAAGACACTCACACACTTCAACCAAGACAAATGCCCACCAGCCGCCGCTGCCGCTCCCTGAGTTAGCAGCTGCTGAGAGCTGACACTTGTCTCCTCCATAGAAAGCAGAGCACACCCCAGGGGGAGGCAGCCCGCGGATCTGCTGAACGAGGCCGGAGGCAGCGCGACCCCACAGTGCTGGCGGGGAGCTCTCCCGCCTGTGTCCCCGTGCAGACCTGGAAGCAGCAAGGGCGTTTCCCACGGTGTTCACACGCCCATCTCGGGCCTCTCTGGCCAAGTCCCGGATGATATTTATACTGTAGTGTCTTCTGTTGAGTTGTGTCCCCCGCAGATTCGCGTGTTGAAGTCCCGCACCCTGCTCCTGCAGAATGTGACGGACCATATGTGGAGACAGGGTCTCGAAGACAGGCAACAAAGTTAAGTGAGGTCAGCAGAGTGGGCCCAAGTCCAGCACACTAATTAGTGTCCCCTAAAGATGGACATGGACGCAGACACAGGGGCCAGCGTTGTAGCACAGCAGGTTAAGCCGTGGCTTGTGCTGCCGGCAGCCACACGGGAATGCTTTTGGGGTCCTGGCTAGCCTCCTTTCCATCCTGCTCCCTGCTAATGTACCAAGGAGGCAGTGGAAGATGGACACAGTGCTGGACCCACCGCCACTCACGTGGGAGACCAGAATACAATTCCAAGCTCCTGGCTTCAGCCTGCCCCAGCCCTGGCCATGGCAGCCCTTTGGGGTGTGAAACAATAGATGGAGGACCGCTCTCCCTCCCTCTCTTCCTCTCTCTTCCTCTCTCTCTCTCTCTCTCTGCCATTCAAATAAATTAATCAGTCTATTTTTTTTCGAAGACACAGACATGGAGGAGAAACCGTGTGAAGACTCAGGCAGGGTGGACTCAGAAGCCGCCAGCCCCACTGACACCTTAGTCCCAGACTTCCGGCTTCTGGAGTTGTGAGAAAATGAACTCCCGCTGTTCTAGTCGGCCCATCTGGGGACTTTGGTGATGATGGCCCAGCAGACAAATACAGGTGCTTGACAGATCACAGAGCTTTCTCTCATGCTCTCACATAAACAGTGTCCACAACAATCCAGTAGCAGGTGGTCCCTGTTTTACCGATAAGAAAACGGAGACGAAGAAGCTCTGTAGCCTAAAGTCATGCTGCTCCCGAGGGGCAGAGCCTTGGCTTGAACCATACTTCCCAATCCTACCTCCCACCTTCTTTCCCACGGACCCTCATTCCTATTTGCAAACTGCCCAGCACCATTGTTTTCATGTCTGGCTGTCCATCAGCCATTTATCTTCCTTCCTTCCTTCCTTCCTTCCTTCCTTCCTTCTCTCTCTCTCTTTCTCTCTTTCCTTTTTAAAGATCTATTTATTTACTTGAGAGGCAGAGTTATAGACAGAAGGAGAGACAGAAAGAGAGGTCCTCTATCTGCTGGTTCACTCCCCCAAATAACTGCAACAGCCAGAGATGGGCCGATCTGAAGCCAGGAGCCAGGAGCTTCTTCCAGGTCTCCCACACGGGTGCAGGGGCCCAAGTGCTCGGGCCATCTTCTAGGGCTTTCCCAGGTGCATCAGAAGAGAGCTGGATTGGAAGTGGAGTAACCAGGATTCAAACCAGTGCCCATATGGGATGCCGGCATTGCAGGCCAGGGCTTTAACCCACTATGCCACAGTGCTGGCCCCTATATTTTATTTTTTTAAATGTATTTGAAAGGCAGAGCAACAAAGAGAGAAAGATAGAGAGTGAGAGCTCTTTGATCTGCTGGTTCACTCCCCAGATGCCCACATCAGTTGGGGCTCTCCCAGGCTGAAGCCAGGAGCCAGGAACTCCTTGCCCATCACCCACATGGGTGGCAGGGACCCAAGTACTTGAGCTATCACCTGCCACCTCCCTGAGTGCACATTGGCAGGAAGCTGGATAGAAGTGGAGGTGAGGCCGGCGCCGCGGCTCACTAGGCTAATCCTCCGCCTAGCGGCGCCGGCACACCGGGTTCTAGTCCCAGTTGGGGCGCCGGATTCTGTCCCGGTTGCCCCTCTTCCAGGCCAGCCCTCTGCTGTGGCCAGGGAGTGCAGTGGAGGATGGCCCAGGTGCTTGGGCCCTGCACCCCATGGGAGACCAGGAAAAGCACCTGGCTCCTGGCTCCTGCCATCAGATCAGCGCGGTGCGCCAGCCGCAGCGCGCCGGCCGCGGCAGCCATTGGAGGGTGAACCAACGGCAAAGGAAGACCTTTCTCTCTGTCTCTCTCTCTCACTGTCCACTCTGCCTGTCAAAAAAAAAAAAAAAAAAAGTGGAGGTGAGACTTGATCCCAGGGACTCCAACGTGGGGTGCTGGGTCCCAGGTGGCTGTTTAACCCACTGTGCTGCCACGCCCACCTACCATCAGCCATTTAGAGGTAGATTACGATGGGGGTCCCCTAATCTGATACATCCAGGCTTACACAGTGGGGGAGGGATGATATTGAAATGGCTCCTGAAATTCCAGGTAGTTGTTAACTGATGATTTCGTACACCCAGAGTTAAGGCCTTCCTGGCGGCTTCCTTCCTGGTACAGAATAGGAAGTGGCCCCACCTCTAAAGCCCACTCCATTGAGCCTGCACTCCTGAAGAATTCTAAGTTGTTTCCAGGCCTCTCCGCAGGGGGAGGGAGTGAGTCCATCCCTCAGCGGCCACTTTCATCTGTCTCTGCCTGCTGGGAGGAGAACTGACCAAGGAACAGGGTTCCTCCCAGGCTTGCTTTTCAATTTAAAATTGTCCTGTCTTTTCCTGAGAATTTTGATGGAAAAGTTGATATCAACATAAGAAAGCAGACTAGCAAATTCCAGGGATTCTTTTTTTCCCCCTTTTGTGGTGTTCCTTTCCGTCCTTGTCCACATGCACATATAACTCTTGCAGTTATGGCAAAGATGAGATTTTATGTTTTCATTTAGCACCAGGATATAAGCATTTTTCCAAGTCACCACCTAATCTTCCTGATGATATTTTTTAATGGCAGCATAATATCACTTGGGGCAATGAAACCATCATTTGCACATCCATTCTCCTTTCCTTAGTCATTTAGGTTGCTTCCAATTTCTCGCTTCAAGTGAGCCATCCTCTTGCAAACTGCAGAAGTGCAGCAGATTCTTGATTTAGCTGGAGGTTTTCTGGTATCATACAGGGGTTCCATTTACGGGTGGGTTGCCCAAGACAGCCCACGGCAGGCGACGGTCAACAGGGTAGAAAGCCTAGGCGGGAAGGGCACCCTGGGGGCCACCATTGTCCCACCCTGGCTTTCCCCTCTCTCAAGGACCCCTGGCAGTGGCTCAGCTGGTGCCGAAGTGGGAGTAGCCTGGGAACACCAAGGGTAAATGGCAGAGGGTTCACGTTTGGCTCCTGTAAGAAACAGAACCAACAATGTGCTACCTGGGGAGGTTCGGCGCCTCCAACCCGCTCTCCTCCTAGAAGCCTGGGTCTTCGGAAAGAAACCAGGATCCACTGGAGCCCTAAGCACCAATCCCAGGAGAAAGTATGTGTCGTGCTTGTTTCTTCAAGCTGCAGTCTGGCAGACCGGACCCTGGCTTATCTTCTGCTTCTCTGCACCTTTGCCTGAGGAGACAGGCAGGGCACAGCCTGGGCAGAGCCCCCAGCCCAGCTCCTGCTGGGGGCCAAGTGGGAGCCCTCACCCTGGAGCTTCTTGCCCCATCCCCTCAGGAAGAGCACCCTGGAGATGAGAATTGCTAACAGCTTTGAGAAGCAAACACAAGCAGGAAGGCAGAGGATGTTCCCGTTGCTTTTAAGGTCAGTTCTATTTGGAGAGAATTCAAAATGCAAGCATACTAATGCAGTCACTGTAGGCCAAGTTCATTTATTGCCTCCTGGTTACAGCCTCAGTCCCGCCCCCTGGAACGGGTTGAATTTTGAAGTCTGGTTGCTGAGCAGGATCTTACGGAAACTTCTCTGTCATCCTCTTTATGGTTCATCTCAAGGTTGCTCAGGACTTATCCTCACTGGTAACAAAAGAAGCCCATACTGATCAAATATGTATTGTTAGGTCCTAAGCTAAGTTTTTCTTTTTTAAAAAATAGATTTATTTGTTTATTATTTGAGAGGCAGAGAGAGGGGGTGGGGGAGAGAGAGAGAGAGAGAGAGGTCTTCGATCCACTGGTCCACTCCCCAATTGGCCACAGCGGCCAGAGCTGCGCCAATCCAAAGCCAGGAGTCAGGAGCTTCTTCCGGGTCTCCCATGTAGGTGTAGGGGCCCAAGGACATGGCCATCTTCTGCTTTCCCAGGCCACAGCAAAGAGCTGGATCAGAAGTGGAGCAGCTGGGACTGGAACTGGTGCCAATATGGGATGCTGGCACTGCAGGCAGCGGCTTTACCTGCTACACAACAACACAGGTCCCCTAAGCTAAGCTCTTTAAACAATGTCTCAACAGTCCTCCAAACAGCCCTAGGAAGAAGGGGTTCTTGTTATCCCCATTCTGCAGAAAAGAAAACTGAGGCACAGAAAGGTCAAGTAACTAATCGAGGCCAGCGGCGGCTCACTTGGCTAATCCTCCGCCTGCGGCGCCAGCACCCGGGGTTCTGGTCCTGGTCGGGGCACTGGATTCTGTCCCAGTTGCTCCTCTTCCAGTCCAGCTCTCTGCTGTGGCCCGGAAAGGCAGTGGAGGATGGCCCAAGTGCTTGGGCCCTGCACCCGCACCTGGCTCCTGGCTTCGGATCGGCGCAGCGCACCGGCTGTGGTGGACATTTCGGGGGTGAACCAACAGAAAAGGAAGACCTTTCTCTCTGTCTCTTTCTCTCACTGTCTAACTCTGCCTGTCAAAAATAAATAAATAAATAAATGTAACTAATCGAGTCACAGGGCTAGTAAGTGGTAATCTTTTTTTTTTTTTAATTTATTTGACAGGTAGAGTTATAGACAGTGAGAGAGAGAGACAGAGAGAAAGGTCTTCCCTCCGATGATTCTTCCCTCCATTTGGTTCATTCCCCAAATGGCCGTCACGGTTGGCACTGTACCTCCTCCTGGTCTCCCATGTCGGTGCAGAGGCCCAACCACCTGGGCCATGCTCCACTGCCCTTCTGGGCCATAGCAGAGAGCTGGACTGGAAGAGGAGCATCTGGGACTCAAACCAGCGCCCACATAGGATGCCGGCGCCGCAGGCGGAGGATTAACCAAGTGAGCTATGGCGCCAGCCCCAGTAAGTGGTACTCTTAAGCACTATAGCCTAGTGGGTAAAGCTGCCGCCTGTGGTACCAGTATCCCATAAGGGCACCAGTTGGAGTCCCGGCTGCTCTACTTCAAATCCAGCTCTCTGATATGGCCTAGGAAAGCAGTAGAAGATGGCCCCCAAGTCCTTGGGCCCCTGTACCCACGTGGGAGACCCGGAAGAGGCTCCCAGCTCTTGGCTTCAGATCAGCTCAGCTCCGGCCAATTGGGGAGTGAACCAGTGGATGGAAGACCCCTCTCTCTCTCTTTTTTAAAGATTTATTTTATTTGACAGGCAGAGTTATAGAGAGAGGTAGAGACACAGAGAGAGGTCTTCCATCCGTTGGTTCACTCCCCAGATGGCCACAACGGCCAGAGCTGCGCCGATCCGAAACCAGGAATCAGGAGCTTCCTCCAGGTCTCCCATGCGGGTGCAGGCGCCCAAGGACTTGGGTCATCCTCCACTGTTTTCCCAGGCCACAGTAGAGAGCTGGATCAGAAGAGGAGCAGCTGGGACCAGAACCGGCGCCCATATGGGATGCCGGCACTTCAGGCCAGGGCATTAACCCACTGAGCCACAGTGCCGGCCTCTCCCTTGCCCTCACCCTCGCCCTCTGCCTCTCTGTAACTCTGCCCTTCAAACAAATAAAATAAATCATTTTTTAGAAAAGGAAATTTAATTTAAAAAAATTTTAAAAGATGCAGATGCTCCCAGGCTGCACGGAGTCCACAGGCTCCTCTCAGGAGACCGCCCCCTGCCAGCCTTGCCACAAACCGAGGAAAACAGTAAGGGAGCCCTTAGTGGACGCAGGCCCTTGGCTGAGGTGTTTCCTTGAATTCCTCTATCTTGGATGAGGAAACTGGGCATCAAGGAGACAAACTCACCTCCCCAACGTCACACAGCTCTAGCGAGGATAGCGGAGACTCTCCCCTGCAACCGGATCTCCTGTAGAGTAACAGACCCCACCGTTAGCTGAGTCTGTGACCTTCTAGTGTTAAGACCCTGTTGAAGCTGGGTGTGCACAGCTGGGGGTAACTGGAGGGGAGCAAACGTGGTACCGGCGACTTCCTGGAATTGTCAGCCTTCTCGCCTTTCCTCCCTGCTGGTGGAATGAGGGCATGACAGCAGGAGCCAGACAGGCCAGAGCCAGGACATGACCAAGGCCATGAATGGCAGGGTCACAGGTAGCAGAAGCCTGGGTCCCAGACGACACCACAGAGCTCAATCGACTTGCAGTCCTGAGACCTTATCCTTCGACTTGGACATGAAAGAGAAACAGAGGGTTCACTTGTCTAAGCCGCTGTTGGGGGGGGGGGGGGGCATCTCTGGCATTTGCAGCCAAACCTAACCCCCACCAACAACAGAGTAGAGCTGGAATTTGAACTGGTCTGACTCCAGAGGCCCAACTTAAAAGCACTTTGCTATTTTCTAAAAAAGTTTGAGAGGCAAAGAGAGAGAGAGAGACTAGACAGAGAGAGACTGAGCTCTCATTCACTGGTTCAATTCCCAAATACTGAAAATGGCCAGAGACGGGACAAGGCCAAAGCTGGGAGCCAGTTCTCCCAGGTGGGTGCAGGGCCCCCATTACTTGATTTATCGCCCTGTGTCCTGAAGCTGGAATGGGGAGGAGGTTTAGCGATCAAACCCAGCAACATCGGTGTGGGATGCAGCACCCGCACTGCTGGCCCAACACTTGCCCCTGCTGTCCTGCTTCTGCTGTAAAACGCTGCGCCCGCATTGGTTCATCTCTTCATGACCAATGTCTTCCTCTCCTCTCCTCCGGAGAGTTGGTCAGGAAATACAGCTCCCGCACCGGACTCCGTGCTGGGGAACAAATCAAGACTGTGAACCCCAGGAAGACTTGGTCAGCGCCACGGAGAGGCGGGCAGACATCTGGGGAGACAGATGGCGGAGCAAATACAGGCAGTACCCTGAGTCCTGGGATGGAGGAGTCACGAGCCCGGTGCCGGGCAGTGCGGGCAGGGCAGGGACTCGCTGTGTGCGGGAGATCAGCGCTGGATTCACAGAGTGGGCGGCCGAGAGAGAAAGCCCCAGGGTGCTTGGTTCTCATCCCCCAGCACCTACAGCGGCGCCTCCCAGGCCTCCCTCTCATCTGGAATTGCAGCCTGCTCTGAGACACTGTTCCTCAGCGTTGCAGACCCCCAGAGTCAGCCCTGGGGGCTCCCAGACTTTTTATGCTTGCTACACCCAAGGCCGCAGAGAAAACTGGGGGTTGGGGCCTGCAGTCGACCCTCTCACAGCAAAGAGAGAAAGATAGGAATGGGCCCCCGGGGCCGGGCTGCATCAAGCAAGATCCTGCGCAGAGCTGGGGGAGTCTGGAGCCCCGTGTGCGACTGCTCTGCGCTGGAAATGGCCTTTTCCATGCGACCTTTCCACCTGCTCTTCCCATGAGCAGCCGGCGGAGCTGCTGTCACCTCTAATAAAACCAGACCCGGCTTGCCCTGATTGGGGCCAATTAGAATCACCCTGAGTGGGTTGCCAGGACAGTCACGCTGCTAATGAAGGCAGCCGCGGTGCCCGCTTGGGCTTATTTGCCTGGTGATAAGGGAATGGGACAGCTCATCCCCCCCAGGGGTCCCCTTCTCCCCCACCCGGATCGCCCCCAGGAACTCCACTCCACTCTTCCATGATTGCCAGCTTTCAAACACACGAGGAGGTCGACCGGAGGAGGAGATGGTCCCTGGGTGAGGAGCCCGGCCAGCACTTTCCCTTACTCCACGTGTGTTTGCAAAGCAACTACTGTGTGCCAGGCGCGGCGCCAAGGGCAGCTCAGGACAGAGGGGAGATCAGGTGCAAGTTTACCGGGAAGTTAAAGAGGCTTTGTCATTAGGGAACGAGTTCTGGAAGAAGCCCTGGCCATGCATCCATGCGGTCACGAGTTTTTGTAAAATTTACAGAGATCAGCTCTTGGACGGCGCTCTCCTTGAAGTCAGCCTTTTCCTGGGTCACGCTTGTCCTCCCGCTGGCTGGCGCTGAAGTGGCTGAGGGCATTTTTGCCATGTGGGCAAAGGGAAGTTCAACTGGGGATACAACTGGGTCTGGGCTCTCGTGGATGATATTTAGGTGGCTTGCAGTCACTTCGTGCACAGGTAGTTTTTCTTAGCCACATCAGAGCAGACATGGCTTCCGGGAACACTTCTTGTCCCTGGTGCCAGCGTCTGTCACACCGTGGCACTAAGGTGCTAGGTCAAAGAGCATGTCAGATTTGAGAGGCAGAGGAGGAGAAATAAGATTTGAGTTGTGTAGCACCCAGAGTTACTCCACGGTGAATTCTCCCGCTTAGTCACCAGATAGCTAAGTGTTCAGTTCTCCCTGATACTGGTTGAGCAACCCTAATTCAAAACTCCCAAAAAATCCAAAATGCTTCCAAATCTGAAACTCGTTGAGTGCTGGCAGGATACCACAAGTCTGATGGTTCAATGTACCTGAACTTCATTTCATGCACAAAAGTATTTTATTTGGGGGTTGGCGCTGTGGCATAGCTAGTAAAGCCACCACCTGCAGTGCCGGCATCCCATATGGGCACCGGTTCAAGTTCCACTTCTGACCCAGCTCTCTGCTATGGCCTGTGAAAGCAGTAGAAGATGGCCCAAGTCCTTGGGCCCCTGCACCCATGTGGGAGACCCAGAAGAAGCTCCTGGCTCCTGGCTTTGGATCGGCCCAGCTTTGGCTGTTATGGCCATTTGGGGAGTGAACCAGTGGATGGAAAACCCCTGTCTCTCTCTGCCTCTCTTTCTCTCTCTGTGTAACTCTGACTTTCAAATAAATAAATAAACCTTTAAAAAAAGTATTTTATTTTAAAAATGGTTTAAAACTACCTCTGGGCTATATGTAGAAGGTGTCTATGAAAAATAAATAAATTTCATGTTTGGACTTGGGTCCCATCCATCGCCAAGATATCTCATTAGGTAGATGCAACTATTTCAAATTCTAAAAATATTCAAAGTCCAAAACGCTTCCAGTTCCAGGCACTCTGGGTAAGGACATTCAACCCGCACTAGCAATGCAGCAATGCAATTGCATGCTATGTTTGTTTACTTTGGATGAGGATTATGTCAAACAGGATTCGTTAGAATCCCTGTGTTTGTAGGGGACAAAGTGTAGCAGTCCTACAAACAGCAAGCACATCTGGTTGTGAAGTCACGTGTTTTATGCGTCCCAAGCATCAATAATACATATAATTATTCATGATGCTGGACGATGGACTTAATTCTCTTTCCTTTCTCTATCAAGAAAATATTATCAAATTGCTGCCTATGAAGAGGTGTGTAACAGTACTCAGCCAAAAAAATAGAAAGGAAGAAAGAATTATAGCAACGAGCAAGGCAGTTAATGAACAAAAACGCATATTGTTTTTCTATACTTTGTGACATTTGTGGTAGTTCTGCACTTTGAACGTGTTACAATTTGTTGTCATTTTATTCCCCAACCTAAGGCTCACTCTCATTTTACTTTTGTGTTCCTGGTAGTGTGGCTTTCTGAACAAGAACTCTCCAAATTGTTGGAGTTTCAGGCCCTACAGAAGCTGAGTTCACTCCTGGAACATAGAGCCCTCCTCCCTCTGTCGTGAGCGAGCCCTATGCCTCCACACACACACACACACACACACCTGTGACCAGGGCCCACCACATGCCAGGCTCTGAACTAGGGCTAGGCACACAGCGACAGATGGAACAGAACCAGCCCCTCCCTTGTGGAGAGGGGGAGAAGTCAGCAAGTCAGCGGAATCACAAGAACACTGGGAGAGACTAAGAACCTCTTGCAGGAGGAATACTTAAGCTGAGACTCAAATGAGAAGTAAGAATGAGCCAGACGGAGAGTGAAGGGAAGAACAGGCTAAGCAGAGACAGCGTGAGTTGGGAAGGGCTTGGTGCAGTACAAGTACTCAGTAAAATATCTATTGAATTGCTTTAAAAATAAATATTATTGGGGCAGGGCCAGGGTGCTTTGGGAGAATATAGGAGGCACTGAAGCACCTAGCAACAAAGGAATGAGAAATGAGAAACAGATTAGCATTGACTTCCCTACTTTCAAGAGGAGAAACAGCCCGGGCAAAGGCCCTGGGGTCAGGGAGAGCGCGAGCAGTTCTGTGTGGCTGGACCAAGCTGAGCCAGCTCGAGGGAGGAGGTAACAGAAAGGGATGTGCATTGGGACAGAAGTAGCCAGGATAAGGGTGGAAATGTAAACCAGGGCCAGGCCAGGCCAGGGCTCAGCAGCCAGGGTAAGACATCCGAGCTTCATGTTAGGTGCTGCGGGAGGGAGTGTGGGGGCATTGGCAAGATCTGGTTGCACAGTCAAGAGAGGACTAGGTGAGAGGCAAGGCCAGAGACCTCTAGGGAGCTGTTGGAGAAACGCAGCAAGAGAGGGTGGTGGCCTGGAAGCAGCAGACAGGTCCAGGGAGGATCACCACGCCCGCGATGCAAGTGGAAAGCATCACGCCGGGGAGGCGCCAGGCTCCGAGGGGGAGCTTGTCCTTCCCGAAGCCCGCCAACTTCATGGGGGCCGGGGTCCTGGTTCACAGCACAGGGCAGCCCTGCCCGCGTCCTGGGAGGCCTTTAGCTTCTCTTCCCTCTTCCCACCTGGCTCTCTGGCCCCGGACTTCTCTGGTTTGGCCAACGGGGAACAGAGCAGGGAGTGTAGGGGCCGAGGTGCTCCCCCCGGGTTGGCCGTGCCCCCTGTCTGTCTGAAGACAACCGGCTCACCCTGCCCCTTTCTCCTCGCTGGGTTCACCACCCCCTTCCTTTCCCTTCCCTTCTCTTAGGATCTGGGCCCCTTTCTTGTTCCCCCTCACCTCCTTACACCTTCGTCAGTTCACCCTCCTTGAACTAGTCTAATGACTGCGACACCTGCTTGCCGCCAGGACCCTGACTGAGCTACACATCCGCTTCAGACCCCAAGCTGAATTGCTCCCGAAATAACACCATGTTCCTTTAAATCAGACCACGCCCCCGCAAGGCCCAACAGCCAATAAGACAAAGACCATGCCCCCAGCCCTTTGCTTGATGACCAATCAGGAACTTCCTGCACCCGTCAACCCTGGTCAGCGCCTCCCTCTGGCCAGAGAGGCTGTAATTTGGCTCAGAGTCCCTGGCTCTGACCCTAGGGTTTTTCCTGGCATTCAGCCCTGGCTCCTTCTCCAGCCGGGATGTCGCTAACTGCTTCAGCCCCTCAGGCCAAGACTGGGTCTGCAGAGACAGGGCCCTGGTGCAGGCAGTGGGTAGCATCAAGATTGCAGAGACCTGAGGAGCCAGTCATCAGGGACAAGTGACCAGAGTCCCCGCCTCCCCTGACAGGGCTCCGTACACCTGCCGGGCTAATATTGTCACTCATTTTTCTGTAGGCTTTTGGCAACTTGTGATCACCCACCGGTCAGTCTGGTGTGTGTGTGTGTGTGTGTGTGTGTGTGTGGTGGTGGTGGTGGTGCTAGGTCTCTGTTGGTGGTGTTTTTTCTGTCCCCCTTCTCCGCCCCGAGGAGGTAAACACCTCGAGGGCAGGGACTTGCCCTGTTGGCTGGGACCCTGGTGTTCACCGGGTGGGCAGGTGTTTGTTGGTGACTGGCGCGCACCATCTGCTTGCAGGGGTTGCTCAGCAACACCCAAACCATTGGAGGTGTTGTAGAGAGCCCCCAAACTG